GTCTTGTCAATTCTGTCTCCTAGAGATTCTGTAGGATAAAGCAGGACTGCCCCACTGGGCTTCCAAGGGGAGTCTTGGTGTGGCGCTGTGGGTTCATGCGCTGGACTGCAAAGTTGGTTTGAGTCACAAGTTTGGTGGTTCAAGCTCACCATCTGCTCCTGGGAAACCCTATACAGGGTAGCTATGGGTCGGAACTGACTCGACAGCACTTACCTACAAACAGCACCAGTCTTTACAGAAGCAAGTTAACCAGGCCTTTTCTCCTGGGGAGCCACCTGTGGGCTCGAACTACCAACCTTTTGGTTAGCAACGGAGTGTTCCTATGAGAACTATATCTAGTTATTTGTTCATTTTGTAGTTTTCATCTGTCTATTTCAGGAGACTTTGATTTAGATACATCTGTCCACTCGCATTATGTTTGCTTATCAGAAAGACAGTGCCCAGGGCTGTATGAAGAGCTCTTCAGAGTCCACCCATGTCTCTCCAGTCTCTGATCCTACTGCCATAGCCCCTGGGAAGGCAGAGGTGGGCAGGCAGGCCTGGGAACAGGCACGGGGAGCCATAGTTCCTTGCTTCCCTGAACTAGGGGTGACATGGAGAAGGGTATTTGGGGTCCTGGGGTCTGATTCAAAGGTGGCTTAAGTCTGATCTCTAAAAAGGACCAGCCCCATTCTGGGCTTCAGTTTCCTCATGTAAAATAGACAAGACATCTCCATATTGCCAACCCTGCAAGAATACATACATACATACACTGATCCTTCCAAACTGCAGATGTTTCCAGAGACCACAGTAAGTGGACCACACTAAGGACAGAAATGAATCCCACTTAGTCTATACCCCAGAAGCATTCACAGGCCAGTGCAGGAAATGGACAGTGTAAGGTACTAGTCAAGAGCGTGGGCCTTGGAGCCCAACACTGACTGGGATGTAACCCCAGTTTGTTCATCCATATAGTGGGAATTCTAATGGCACCTATTTAAGAAGATTGTTTTGAAATTTAAATAAGTAAGACCATGTCATACTCCCAGAGCACAGTGGCTCCATAGGATAAACACTGGACTGCAAACCACAAGTTTGGTAGTTCAAGTCCACCAGCCACTCTGTGAGAGAAAGATGAGGCTTTCTGCCCCATAAAAAAGATTGAAAACCTCAGAAACCTTCTTCAGGGTTGCTATATGTTGAAGCCGATTCCATGGCAGTTAACAACAACAATGTAATGCCCCCAGGTACCGAGAGTGCTAGATAGCAATATCGGTCACTACTGTTAATGTCAGGGAGGGCCCCTACGTCTAGGAAGCCCCCTTCTCCAGGAGGTGATGTTTGAACAGAGACTTGAGGGATGAATAGGAGTTTGTTGGACAGATCAATTGGCAGGACTCCCACCCCAGCCACATGCAAAGACCTGGACAGTAAGCTGAAAATGATGAAGAAAGACGTTAGAATTTACCGCAGTGAGCCTGCATGGCTTGGATTTCTGAACCATTTTCAGCAGTAGTACCTTTTGCCAAGTAGAATCAAACCGTGTTCCCTGGTGTGTGTGCACAAAGGTCAGGCATGAGGCCCCTCCCAAAGCCCTTCTGAGTTTCCTGCCAGACAATATCGCACAGTTTAGACAACATGGGCCTGGCTCAGGAGTCCCGCTCTGATTAAATCACCTGACCTTTCTAAGCCTTGTTTTCTTGGATGTAGAGGTGACTAGGGGTCCATTGTGGAGGAGGGCCATTTGGCCTTGGCCTGAATTCCCAGGAAGCCTGCGGTTTGAACCCTTCAGCTGTCTCGGGATGAGATTGTGGTTACAGTCCTTGTGGGATTTTGCTGTGAGTTGGTGTAAATGTTAATTTATTGGATGTGGGTATTTAAGAATGAGGCCTGGTGATTCTATGGACTAAACATTGGACTGTTAACTTCAAGGTCAGTGGTTCAAACCCACCAGTAGCTCTGTGAGAGAAAGATGAAGCTCTCTGCTCCTGTAAGATTGATAGTCTTGGAAACCCCTATATAGGGTCGCTATGAGTTGAAATCGATTCAATGACAGTGGTTTTTTTTGGGATGGGAATGGAGCGTGTTTGAGATGTATGTGACTTGTAGGTAGTAAGGCCTCTCCCATAGGTCGACTGGGACCCAGTGAGCACCCTTGGGCTCTATCAATCAGGTCCAGGGTCCAGTACCCCTAGAGTGTATGTGGACATGCCCTGGGAACTCTATAAGCTGGTGGGGGTATCAGGTATGACCAGCTCAGAGGACGAGGTGATGTAGGGCGGGACCCTTGGGATCTGTGAGGGAATCTAGCCCTGGCTTGAGCATCTCCAACTTCTACAGACTTCAACACTGACAACTTCATCTGCAAGGAGGACCTGGAGATGACACTGTCCCGGCTCACCAAGTCGGAACTGAACCAGGAAGAGGTGGTACTCGTGTGTGACAAGGTCATCGAGGAGGCCGACCTGGACGGGGACGGCAAGCTGGGCTTTGCCGACTTTGAGGACATGATCGCCAAGGCCCCTGACTTTCTCAGGTACTGTCGCCTGGGGCTAGGGCAGAGTGGTCCTGAATGTGGGGCCACAGCCAGTCAGCCTGCCCCCCCCTCAATGCAGACTGGGGAGTCTCCTGTCTCCTGTAGGCCCCAGGTCCTCAGTATGGGAAGGATTAGGACCTGGGGCCCTTTTTTGGGGAGCTGGAATCCCCAGGGACAGTGGGTTCTCCAAGTCTGGTCTCCACAAGAGCCTTGGTTCCTTCTCTCAGCTAAATAATTAGGGGTTCTCTGCAGGGTTACCTGAGGGACTAGGGTGGGTTGAGCTGAGGGCAAATCTTTTTCACTTGCCCAGGTCCAGAATCTTTGTCACTCTCTTTCCAGCACATTCCACGTCCGGATCTGAGGACACTGCCAAGGCTGCAGGGGCCCAGAAGTCCACCATCCAGCCCTGCTGTCTATGTAGATGTGACCACGTGGTCCCCCAAGGAAGGAGCTTCAGCCTTGGGGGTTTGCACTTATAAACATTTCCTGTAGCCCTTTCAGCAAAAAAAACAACAACCACTAACTTTAACCAGGGGAGGGGGATGTGAGGGAGGAGGTCCCTTCCCAGAGTCCTGAGGTCCAACCCCAGGTCCAGCCCCATGACCCCTCCAGGCTCTCCCTCAGTTCTACCATCTACCCTGACTCTATCCCTAATGGTATGTTTGGGAGTGGGGGGCACACTGGATTGTCCAAGTGCTGAACAGAGACCCTGGTCACCCAGGGCAGAGTGCAAAAAAATAAATGGGTAGGGTAGGGATAGGGTTTTAATGAGCTATGCAATCTTTCTCCAAAACCCAAGGCTGGGCCACCCCCCACCCCCTGTCTACTCCCCTTCCCCTGCCCCTGAATGTGAAGCTGTGTCCACAGTGGGTCCAAGGACTTTGCCTCTGTTTCTACCCGGTATCCACACTTCACAATACTATGCGATCCTCACTGGTTCAGGCTGTCTACAAGATCTGTGAACCCCTCCAGGTATAATGCTTGTGTATTGCCATTCTCTGTCTCTGCCAATGTGAGGAAACATTCGACGGCATCTCTCCTGGTCCTTGAAACCACCATTAATGCTTCACCTCCTTGTGTTAAGCTTTACCCGCCCATTTTAAGCATTATTTTTTTTTCCCACCCAATGCTGGTGCCTTTGAGAGGAAGACCCATCCTTGCCCTCAAATCTTTGTGTGAATCCCATAAAGGATGAGAATCGTCTCCACTCCCCTTATAACAATAATTACGCTGGGTAACGTTTTTTAGAGTGCCAGCCACAGGTCAGACGCCTGGCTAGCTGCTTTACTGTGAGTCCTGACCACAGCCCCTAGGAGACAAGGACTCTTAGAGCCCACTTTCAGAGGGCGAAGCTGTACAACTACTGGGCAGCTCAGGGTAGATTTTTCCACAAGGTGACTGTTCTGCCCGGGGTGGGGGTGGGTTGGGTTGGGGGGTACGTGAGGGAGCCTAGGGTTTCCAGCTGGTGATAGTCACACTTCTGTTTTCCATTTCCTGGGCTTGGGGACAATGGGGGCAGGAGGTCAGTTGCTCACCCTTATGGAGGTGGGGGCATGTGAGTAAGAGGGGAAGTGAAGAAAAGCAGGAAGGACCCAGAGGGAAGGGGATCGAGGAAAAGGTCGCCTGGCTTGAGGAAATGGCGTTAGGGAGAGACCCGAGTGCCCTGTGTTCAGAGCTGGTCCCTCAAGCTTCTTGGAGGACAGACTCACCAGATTAAATTTGGGTCTCATGAGAGGGTTCTGGAAGCTACCCGTAAAGACCAGAACTGGCCTGGAGGCAGGCAAGGGTGACCTGGTCAGACAGGGGTGGCCGCAAGTACCCTCTTGCTCCAGAAACCACCCAGGCTAGATTTCAGCGTGCTGTGCTGAGGGGTGTCTCTCAGCGCCCTGCCCTGCCATGTGACTAAGCATGTTGCTGATCGCCTCTGGGCTCTAATTTCCCCACCTGCAGCACAGAGGGGTCTGCTTAGCTCTCACAGTGGGGCTGGGGCAAAGGCAGGGGGCAGAGAGACGCCCCAGCCATCTCCGTGTCTGCTCCAGGGTCCGAACCATGGCCTCTAAGGGAGTCGCTGTTGACATTGCTGGCTTCTTGCCCTCGTCCACTCCTGGGCCTCCTCCAATTCCTGCTGATAGGGCTGAGGAAGGGAACAGACTTTGGTCTCAAGAGTCTTGGCAGGAAGTGTCCACTAGTTCGGAAGATGTCTGCCCTAGCTTGGTAAATGTTCAGTGTGCTGCAGGTCCATCTGTGAAACAGGCATAATGACCCCTGCCTCTTGCCAGTCCCCACTCTTCTGGAACCCGGGTCACCTCCTGTGGATGGCTGGCAGCCTCTTGTCTGTGTCTCTGAGCCTGGTTTGGGGGCAGACTGGTTGGTTCTGAAGATCCTAGAGGTGCTTTCAAGTGAGCTTCAAGCTTCCCCATAGTCACTGGTACAGTCCAGGCACCAGGAGACCCACTTGTGTGGGCTGCGGGAAGCTAGACCCTCCTCAGAATTTGTGCTTCTTGTCCGCAAAGAAGAGCCTCTTCCGGAACTTGTCAGGCTGCAAGGGACGGGGAGAAGATGTTGGGCCTGGGGCCCTGGACAGCGAAGGAGAGACCCAGGCTCAGAGGGCCCACACCAGCAGTGACCTGGCAGCTGGGACCCAGGAAGTGAGGCCAAGTTGGGATATAGGACAAGCCTCTCCAAGTGCCTGAAATACCACCTACCATCAGCCCTTCAGGTCTGGATTAAGCATCTGCCCTCCTTTGATTAAGGAGTCCAAGGACAAGGAATGGACTAGAAAGGGGGGCAGAATAAAGATCATGTTCCTGGCATTCCACACCCCAGAGCTTTCTGCCCCAACTGGGGTCTCAGGATACACTGGTGTCCTACCCAAGGTGGGGGTGGGACTATAAAGCATGGCAAGGTTGGAGGTTCAAGCCCACCAGCCACTCCTTGGAAACCCTATACAGGGTCACTACGAGTCGGAACCAACTCGATGGCACTTAACAACAACCAGGAACAGGAGAGAGCGCAGGACTTTATAGCCAGAAGAAAAGCCTATGTGGAAGCCCTGTCTTATACTGATATCACCTCTCCTACCACTGTCAGAAGGGGTACAATTCTGAACCTGACCCCCACCGGCCCCCACCCACCCTCACCTCACCCATGGAGCCCACCTTGTGTATCCGTCCAGTCTCCTTGCTCCTGGTGGCTGGGATCTGCTCATAGGTGTTTCCTGGCTCTGGGGTGTGCTCGTAGTCACTGTCCATGGACTCTGAGAGCTTGCTGTAGGTGGGACTGGCCCCGGGGTGAGGAGACCTGGCTTGGCCAGCCCAGCAGGCCGGGATCTGCTCGTAGGTGTCACTTTCTTGATCTGGCACATTCTTAGCCTGCTGCAGGAGGAGGCCCACTGTCCCAAAGAGCTCATAGGTGTCTGCAGAGCTGTCCTGGAAGCAAAATTGAGCCCCTTGGCACAGTGTTGGGGACCTCTGGCTCCAGGTCATAGCTGGGGAGCCTAGGGTCTCAGAACCAGGGAGCATGAGGAGCCCCCGGGAAATGGGAGACACTGATAGACCCTGGTCTGAGCTCACCCCAGCAAGGGCCAGCACTGGGCCATCAGACCTATTCAAGCCTCCATCTGAGGGTCTTCTCAGGGCCTCCCTAGTGGAGATGCAGGCTTGGCTGCCAACAAGAACTGGCGTCTGTTTGCTGACCACCTCTGTGCCCAGATTTTGTCGGGCCTGGTTCCTCTTCTTCATGTCTGCATAGATGATGTCACTGGAGCTTCCAAAGGACTCATCTAGGAGAGAGGCACTCCTCTCGGGGAGCGGGGGCACCCTAATGGAGGTCTGAGGAAAGAAGGACAAAGAACTTCTTAAAGAGGACCCATAGCTCTTTAAGATGACTTCAGGTAAACAGAAACTCCCCGGGTAAGCCCAGACCTCCTGTCTCCGCTTCACTTTATCTGACTGTTACATGCAGGGTTTTAGATACATGACATCCAGGCTCCCTGAGAGTTCCTAGGTTCTTTGAATATGATCTTTATCTCGGCATTCAAGGCCCCGAGTCACCAACTCTACTTACCACCTAAGTTTATCCTGCCCTGTCCTCATCCCTCTAACAAGGTCTGCTGGCCTCTCAGAGCCCCCTGAACCCATTCACTGGCTGCTGTCTCCCCTGCCAGAATGACCCACCTCCAATTCCATCCTTCAAGTGTCCAGATACTGTCCCACCTCGGGGAGTTTACATTTGAATTGGGAAGCTGTTCAATAAGATAGTATGCTTTGAGATCATATGGGATATAATGCTAGATCAGTAGACAATAGTGCACCAGGTCATGCTGAGTGCCAGGAAGAAGAGCAAAGCAGGGCAAGAGGGTAGAAAGAAGGGCAGATGGGAGAGGGGCTATTTAAGCAGAAAGCAGAATGAACTGGGAGGATGAGCATGCAGATATCTAGTGGGAAGAGCATCTTAAGCAGCTAGCACAACATGTGCAAAGGCCCTGAGGTAGGGACAAGCTTGGTGTGTTCACGGAAGATCCACAAGGCCAGTGAAGGTAGAGAAGAATGAGAAAGGGGGAGAGGTAGAGCTGGTGAGGGTCTTTAGCCTGGTGAAGATTTTATTCTTAAAAGGAGAAGCCCTTGGCCTGCTGTGATCCAATATACAAAAAAGTTTGTCAGGAAAAAAAAAGGAATTTAAAGAAAATGGAATTCCTTCACAAGTTTTTTGAAGGGCCTTTACATATTAAGAGAAACTTCGCCAAGTCTCCAGTGAGTGCTGTTGAACAGAATAAGTCTTCACTCACATAAAGTCCCACCCTATAGTTTACAAGGATTTTCAGTCACTATACTTTCATTCAAGCCTCACAGCAACTGAAGCTCGGGGAGATTAAGCGACTTGCCCCAAACCACACAGCTGAAAAATCAGTCAATTCAAGGTTTGAACCAAATCCAGCTGGCCAGAAGTAGTCCATCCGTGTGGGTGACCCATTGAGGTATTCCAGGCTGGGGTTGTGCTTATCGGGGCCTGGCATTGACCACTGGAAGCCTGCAGGGACTGACCAGCAGAACCTCCCAGGCCTGACAGTGGACACCTAAGTCCCTGAGCCTGGGGGACCCAGAACTCTCACCTCTGTGCTTCCCTCTTCAGAGAGGTTCCTGGGACTCACATCCAGGCTCTTGTTTTCGTGGAGGAAGGAGACCTGGGACTTTGGAGGAGGGCGGGGGCTAGCAACCTTGTCTGAGGCAGCCGTGGAGGAAGCCCTGGCCGGCTGACTTTGCAGGCCCAGGTTGGTCCGGTGGAGGTCCAACATGATAGCATCATATAAATCGTCCTCTAGCTAGTGGGGAGGAATCACAGCAGACATGTGGTTATACACCCCAGGCCACCCCCCTGGTGCCTGCCAGAGACTGCTGGCGAGGGACTGAGAGAGTCTCACAAGGTCCCTGACCTCAAGTAAGATGCTGTCTCAGTCTCACTTTTTCAATAAGGAACCACGGCCCTGCACTGAATGCCCCAGATGGCAGTAAATCAGGAAAGTGAGAAAAAGCATGTGCCCAAACCCTGGGCCCGGGCACTCTGACCTGCCACCCTCACCCTGGGGAAGATGGGAACCTACCCGGGGACAAGCAGTGGCCAGGGTCTCCCCAAAGGGCTCAAGTTGCACCTCCTGGTAATGGCGCACAAGCTCGGCCAGGCTGTTATGGCTGTGGGTGTCTCCCGAGACAAGGTAGCGTCGGTTGTGGAGCTGGTTGATGACAAAATGCCGGCAGCGGTCACTGCCCCTACAACACAAGGACTTGTGAGGTGGGGCTGCTGGTCACGGGCTGCCCAGCCTGGAGCTCTGGGCCTGGAGGCAGGGACAGGTCCATCCTGAGACAGCATTGCCCACTGGCAAAGAAGTCCAGTCTTGAGGGGTAGTTGTGAAAGCTCAGGGAGCTAGGGAGTGGTTTCAAAGCCTGGTGCCCTGAGTTCCTGGGAAGTGCCTAAGCCTGCCCTGTGGGGCTCAAGGGTGAAGTAAGTGAGGCACTCCCAAATGACAAAAGAAGGCGGTGCCAAAAAAGTTAGTAATCAAGATAAAATCAAACAAACATGCAATCAAGAAAAATCGATCATTACCAGTGATTAGAATACAAAAGCTGGAAACAATAAAGGATCAGTAATTGGAAAGTCTGATCTTGGTAATAGAAATGATGCCAACGATCACATAAGATTTTGTAAGACCAACAACTTATTCTTTACAAATACTTTTTATCAACAGCATAAACTGTAACTATCCATGTTACCCTGGGCAGGTGAAATCCACTGACATCCATTCAACTATATATGTGGAAAGAAAAGATGGAAAAACCTAACATCATCAGTCAAAACAAAGCCAGGGGTCAACCATGGAACAGACCAACAACAGCTCGTAGGCAAATTCAAGTTGAAGCTGAAGAAAATTAAAGTCCACCAGCGCCAAAGGACAACTGTGACTACATTTCCTCTGAATTTAGAGACAATCTCAAAAACAGATTTGACACACTGAACACTAATGACTGAAGACTGGTGTTGTGGCATGGTATCAAGAACATGAAGAAAGCAAAGGGTCACTAAAAAGAAAGGAAAGAGGAAGGAAGGAAAGAGAAAGAAAGAAAAGAGATACTTTCTGAAAAGATTCTGAAACTTGCTCTCGAATGTACAGTAGCCAAACTAACTGAAAGAAACAACGACGTAAAAGAACTGAACAGAAAATCTCTAAAGGCAACTTGACAAAGTCAAGTACGATAATGAGATGTACAAAGGCTCGGAGTTAGGAAACTAAGAGAGAAAACACACTCAGCTTTATTTCAAGAAGAAAGAACTGAAGAAAAACGTTAAGCCTCAACTTGCAACATTGCATTCGGCTATTTCATTGCTTTAACATCTCTTACTGAAAATGAAAAGACCATCTTCCCCGTGGAATTACAGTGTCTCTTCTCATAGAAATCAGCTTTGTAGGAGTGTTTCTGGACTCTGTTCTGTTTGCTTGGTCTATTTGTATCTTTTTTAAGTTGACATTTAGCCTAAGTTGACACTAAAAAACGAAAATGTCCTAATGATGAAAACTCATTTGAAAACAACCGAGTGATGTCATAGTATCTAGCCCAGTATCTGAACTCCTGGTGTTGCGCTGTAGGATCAGCACTGGACTGCGAACAACACGTCGGCAGTTCAAACCCACCAGCTGCTCCTCGGAAACTCTAAACAGGGTCAATACAAGTCGGAAACGATTCAATGGTACTTAAGAACAACAAACAGCCCGGTATCTGCTACAAAGGATAGCAGTATTTTAATATTGACTAAGATCCATTGGGAGTACTAGCATGGCCCTGTAGGGTAAGCACTGGACTGTGAACCACAAGGTTGGCAGTTCAAACCCACCAGCCACTCCTTGGAAACCCTATATGGGGTTACTAAGAGTCAGAACTACCTCAACAGCACTTAACAACATTTATTGAGTTCTTACTATGTTCTATGCTCTGGGCCAAGTACTTTTAAATGTATAGACGTCATCGAACCTTTTCAAGGATCCTTTGAATAATAATGGTACTGTTATATATTTTACAGAGAAGGAAACTAAGGAACAGAGAAGCAAAGTAACTTGTTCCAGGCTAGGATTTGAACTCCGGCAGTCTGAGTACATAATTCTGAGTTTGAAGCATTGAGATTTGCCCTATAGCCCAGGCTTCCCTCTGTGCCATCCCCACACTCAACCTACTCTCAGCACAGGATCTGGTGTTATCAACTCTAACTTTGTTCTACCATCTTGTGTGCTCCTTCTATCTCCACTGCCCTACCCAGACCACTGGCGCTGTGGGCTAATGTGCCAGACTTCAAAGCCATTTGAACTGCAAGGTCGGCAGTTCAAGTTCACCAGCTGCTCCTTGGAAACCCTATACAGGGTCGCTATGGGTCGGAACTGACTTAATGGCACTTCACAACACAACACAGACCACATCACTTCACATCCAGCCAATTGTACCTGTCCCCAACTGTGCCAGAACTTCCAGCATCTGTTTTCTAGGCTTCCGGAAGTACCATTGCAAGACATGAATCTGACCAATATTACCCGTGTCCTTCTCTCCAGACTTAGGCGTCCAAGGCCGTCCTGAGGTGGCCCTGTCCTCCTCTGCAGTCACTCCTCCATAAGAACCACACATCCTGCTGCGCCCAAGGCCTGTGTCTCTATAAGCCTAAACCACACCCTCTTTTCTGCCTACCAAATTGCTATTCTTCCCTCTCGCTTCTGTCCAGTTTGCTTCTGTGAAGCTGTTTCCGGCTCCCCACCAGGAAGCTGTTTTCCCTGCCCCACTCCTGAAGACTGAGGCTTTATCCGTAGCACATAACCAGAGCTCAGGGAATGCCAATGGATGGATAACCAATGAAGGGTGAGGGACAGCCAGGCAGTGTAGGTTGGTGGGGTCACTGTGACTTTCTCCAAGGCTCAGTTATGGGTTTTCTGAGCCCACCTGCCACCTTGCAGCAGGCTTCCCTTCTTACCTGTAGGACAGGATGTAGCCGGTGGCCCGGTCGCTGAGGCGGATGAGAAAGGAGCCAAGACCTTTGTCCCTGAGAAGCTGCTCAGTCTGCCTGGACAGAGGACATGCCATTAGTTGGGTTCTATGTCCCTATAGCAGCAAGACTCAGACCTGCCTCAAAATCCCTGCTGGTCAGACCTCCACCCCAGCTGCATTGGGTTTGTCAGAGCTCAGTCTGTGACCTGCCTGGACTCAGTTGAACAAGATCAGGGATAGCCTGGGTTGGGTCAGCGTCCTGAGACCACCCCCTCCACCACTTCCACCCCCACCCCCATTACAACCTACCACTGGCTTGGCCACCTACTGTCCATGGCCACTTCCTGTCCACCTGGGAAACTGTTCAGCAAGAAGAAGGAATGCCTATGGCAGGTAGTTTTTAGACTTGGTAAGGGATCTCTGGTTTGAGAGTGCTGAATAGAGATGTGTAGGATGTGCCCTCCACAAGAGTTTCTGGAAGGAAGTAATACTACCATGTCTAAAGTTTGTCTCCCTCAAACCCAGACAGCTTTGGACATTTCACATGGTGCCAAGTATTTGGGGACATGATAGAATTTTCTAGCTATGTTCTGTTTGAGCACTGCATCGACCAGATACTCTCTCACCAAACACTGACAGGATGCCTGCCCCCAGGCAAGACCAGCTACAGAATTTGCAGGACCTTTTGTTTAAAAATTCTTAGGAATTTAAAGACAATGACAAGAGTATTAAACAAACACCCAGGCCCTTCTTTTCTGCTTCACCTCATGATTTGGCAGCTTGAAAATCCAGTCCAATCAGAAAGCCAAACCTCATGGTTTATCCTTTATTCCTAGGGTATTCATCCAGCTTTGCTTGGATGGTGCCTGTTCATAACAGTTCTCCTAGCTGAATCATGAATAGTGCTCTGGTTTGGAGGATTAATGACACTGTCCCTGTGTGGTGCTGTAGGATAAACACTGTACTGTTGACCACAAGGTGGGTGGTTCAAATCCATCAGCTGCTTCTCAGAAACCCCTAGACAGATTTGCTCTGAGTTGAAACTGACTCGATGGCACTTAACAAGCAAGTTAGTCATCAGAGTTGAACACACCCTGTTCTCGCCTGTCCCTGTTTCTGTCCATTTGGCAGCCTGGTAACCCCAGCCCACCTAGACCTGCACTTGGAGTGCGAGCCAGGGCCCTCACCCACCCTGCCCATGGAAGTGCCAGCATTCTGTCCTCCTACTCTCACTGCCCACCCCCAGAATCCCTGCCCCACCCAGAGAGAGGGCAGGAACCAGTCTTACTCCAGAGTCCCCAACATGGGCTGGTGGCCACACTGGGCGTATAGACAGGGTAGCCTTACTTGCGGGTGATGAATCCATGAAACCAGGGGGGCAGGACACCGTTCTGCAGAATAAGAGGGGCCTGCGTCTCCATGAACCACCTCAGGGCCAGTGTCTGGAGGTTATCCAGGGCCTGGCTGTCCCCTCCTCCTTGAGGCCCCCCATCCAAGCTGAGCTGCTTTATACTGCTCTCCATTCTGGCCGACACAGGAGCGGAAGTAGAATCCAACAGCCGTCCACCTCTATATCTGAGTGCTCGGCTCATTTGCCTGAAACCATGCCCTCCCCAACCACCTGCAGATACAGGAGCGCTATTGTCACCTCTTTACCGGGAGCTGATTCTCTCTGATGCTTTAAGGCGGGGTACCTCAGCTGGCTGGAAAAATTGGGGGACGGGTCATATTAGCAGGCCTAGATAGGGAAAAGGAGGTAGAGAAAAGACACCTGCTTTGTGGTCCAGCAGGTGAGCTTCCTCACTGGGTTTATTCTCTTTCCACCCAATCAGTGGTCTTTGTCACAGCTAAAGACCATCCCGTGGCAAAGCAGTGGATTTGAATTCTTTGTACACTTCCCTTGTGGAGGTGCTTTGGATTTTGGTGAAGATCAGTGCAGTGCTGATAAATTCATCCTTCTATTTGAGATTTATTGAGTGCCAGCTGTATGCCAGGCATCTGTGGACACTGAGAATAAATAATTGAGCAAACATTTTCCCCCCTCATGGCGCATGTATCCTAGTGGAAGGAGAGGGACCATACACAAATACAAGGACAACTCCAAAAAGGACTGCTACAAAACCATAGAAAACTTTATTAAACAAAATTATCAAAATACAAAGCTGTTATTTATTTTATTTTTTTTACATAAACTCCAGTTAGGTCTATACATTTCTAAAGGTGAGTTACCATTTCTCTAACCCTTCCCCCAAAGAATTCTGAGCTCTTCAATGTAGACCACAGCAACATGGCAATTTTTGCCTCCTCAAGGGACTAAAAATCATGTTCCTTTTCAATGTTCTTTGAGTTTTGGGAACATAAAGAAGTCTGAAGGGGCAAGATTAGGGCTATAGGGTGGATGAGGTAAAGTTTTACAAAGAAATTCTTACAGGATAGCCCTTGCTACCCTCCAAGAATTAGTAGGCATGCTACCACGATGGAAAACAATTCCTTGGTCTCTATTTTCTTTTAACATTTCATTGTGAATTGAGTGAAGGGTTACAGAGCAGATCATCAGTTTTACATTCAACAAATCATATACTTTGAACTACAACACCTCTACAAGAAAAAGACAAACAACCCAATTAAAAAATGGGCAGAGGACATGAACAGACACCTCACCAAGGAAGAAATGCAGGCAGCCAACAGACATATGAAGACATGTTCACGATCATTAGCTATTGTTGTTGTTGTTAGGTGCCATCGAATCGGTACCAACCCATAGCGACCTTATGCACAGCAGAACGAAACATTGTCCGATCCTGGGCCAACCTCACTAATGTTGCCACGTTCGAGTTCATCGATGCTGCCACTTGGACAATCCATCTCACTGGGGGTCTTCCTCTTTTTCTTTGACCCTCCACCTTAACAAACATGATATCCTTCTCCAGTGACTGACAATATGTCTGAAGTATGAGAGATGAGTTTGGCCATCATTAGCTATTTGAGAGATGTAAATCAAAACAATGAGATATCATCTCACCCCAACATTAACAGCAAATTTTTTTTTTAAAAAGAAAGCAGAAAACAACAAACACTAGCGATGGTGTAGAGAGATTTGGACCCTCAGCTGTTCCTTGGAAACCCTACACAGGGATGCTGTGGGTCAGAATTGACTTGACGTCACTTAACAACAACAACAACAACATATTGCTGGTAGGACTGTAAAATGGTGCAACCACTCTGGAAAACGGTATGGCGCTTCCTCAGAAAGTTGGAACTAGAAATACCATATGATCCAGCAATCATTATACTTAGTATATATCCACAAGAAATAAGAGCCAGGACACGTGTAGATCTATGCACACCAAAGTTCATCACAGCACTGTTCACAATAGCAGAAAAATGGAAACAACCTAAGTGCCCATCAATGGAAGAATGAATAAACAAACGTTGGTACCTACACACAATGGAATACTATGCACTATTGGAGAATAATGAATCTGCGAAACACCTTGTAACAAGAATGAACCTGTAAGACATTATACTAAGTGAAATTAGTCAATCACAAAATGACAAATATTATATGGGACTGCTATTAGAAAAACTCAAAAAAAGGTTTTCATGCTAAAAGAAACATTCTTTGATAGTTACCAAGGGTGGGAGGGAAGGGAGAGTAACTCAGTGGCTAAAGGGTAGACACATGTTAATTCCGGTGACGGGGATGGCAATATACAAGAGGGAGGTGACAGAAAAATGAAGACAGGTGAAGACACAGTGAAGTAGGCAAGGTCTAAGTAAATAGTGTTATATACACAATGTTGGAACCACAGTGTTCAGCATGGACAGAAACACAGGCTGAATGGGTATAGGAGAAAGAATGGGAATAAGGGTTTGAAAGGATATTTGTACATGGGTATTTACCTTTGCGGAAAACACAACTATGAATGTGGTGGAGTATACAGCAGGCAAAATGATGAAAACTTAGATATTATCAAACTTCTGAAAGCAATGAGTTGCTGGGCCTGGGAACTCAGAACCATAGTCTCAGGGGACACCATGATTAATTGGCATAACACAGTCCACAATTTAATGTCCTACATCCTACTTTGGTGAGTAGCATCTGGGATTTTAAAACTTCATGAGCTGCCGTATAAGGTGCAACTGGCATCTTAGTGATTACGAATCAGGCTGCTAACCTCAAGGTCGGCAGCTTGAAACTAACAGCTGTTCTGTGAGAGAAAGATGAGGCTTTCTGCTCCCATAAAGATTTGCAGCCTCAGAAACTCTGTGCAGGGTCACTATGAGTCAGAAATGACTCCACGGTACTTAACAATAACAACAACAACATTGTCTCTCCATGTGTGGAAGAAAGAAAAGTGATGAGAATTGAAGATTTTGAAATCAATTACCCCAATGTCTCTACAACTCTGAGACTAGAGGAACTAGATGGTGCCCAGCTACTACGCTCAACTGTTCTGAAAGGGACCACATTAGAATGTCCTAGATAGAGTGGAAGAAACTGTGTAACAAAACTCAAAATTATATGTATACAAAAAGACCAGGCTTGCTGGTCAGAAATAGACTAGAATACCCCAAGACTATGACTATCAACCATCCTTCCATTATGGAAGGAAACTCACCCTTGTGGCCCAACTTTCAACAAAGTAATTGTTGTTGTAGTTAGGTGGCATCGAGCCGGTACCAACTCATAGAGACCCTATGCATGACAGAACAAAACACTGCCCAGTCCTGGGCCAACCTCACAATCATTACTGCACTTGAGCCCATTGTTCTGCCACTGCGTCAATCCGTCTCATTAGGGGTCTTCCTCTTTTTCTCTGACCCTCCACTTTACCAAACATGATATTCTTCTCCAAGGACTGGTCCATCTGATAATATGTCTGAAGTATAATAGACCAAGTCTGGTCATCCTGGCTTCCAAGGAGCACTCTAGCTGTGCTTCCAACACAGAGCTGTTGATTCTTTTGGCAGCCCATGGCACCTTCAATATTCTCCTCCAACATCATAACTCAAAT